ATATAAACAAGGTACGATACTTGTAATACTAATAATTTCCTTATCTATCGATAAAGATGAATATAGCAAGGTTTTCTGTTCAAGGAACAAGTTCTTTTTTTCAAAATGTTTCTTTATATAAATGAAAACGCTAAATATACAATGGTATGAAACTATAATGACATTTTCACTTGTCACTTTTGTAACTTCATATTCTTTCCTTCATTCGACACCTCCCCCATGCTACAATGAAAAATTATGAATAGAAGTTGCTATCGCAAGGGGAAGTGCTAGCCAAACATTGCTATAGGCATAGCTGAGTGGTTTCGTGTTCAAGCTATAGATTGCAATTTAGCTTGGATTTACTAATTTTCTTCAAGACAGGTCTGGTGGTGGTGAATGTAACTTGGCGTGATATGAATGATAGATTGATAGTCAGACATTTTGTACATGTGTGTGCCTTTAACTTTTAACATTGTGTTGGCAAGGTTTATTTCAATAAACTTTGGGCTGTTTTATAAGTCATGTAATTTTTTGTTCAAAAATACGAAACATTAATCTTTGCTAAAAATATTGCTTGAATATATACGAAATTCACATTTAATTCACCAGAGATTGTGTGTAGTAATCAGTTCCTCAGTAAATACTGAAAATACAAATGTTTTTTCTTTCAATAACCACCCTTAAAAGCAAGAATACTTGTTTTGATTAGAGCTATGTGACTATGTCGATAATACTATTTCAGGGCAAGTGTGTCAAAATTTGACGACTGACTTTTATCGTGGATAGTGGATTTGGCAGGTATACCATGTGGATCATCATGGTTATTTCAAGGTTTAAAGAGGACATTGGCGGGTAATGTGATTATAGTTATAATTGCATGCATAACTGTGACTTTTCATAAAGGATCATAAGTTTTTTTAAATGTATGCCATTGCATTTAATAAACGCAGTGTTTTGGGAGATGTACCGAAGAAATGAAAAAGGAAACGTGAATATTCCTGAAAGCTGAAATAAATAATGTTATGACAAATTGGCTTCGCTTGGCCCCAAATGTGGACACTTTTTTTTTACAAAACAATACGAAATGGGAGGGAAAACCGGTGGATCCGGGAAAAAACCCACCAATAATAAAAAAGAACAAAAATTTAGAAAAATTTCCTTAAATTTTTGTAGTTTAAAGAGGTTTCCTATTTTTGCTGTTTTTAATGATCCCGATTATCTATTTTAACATGCTGCAGCGTAGTCAGATCATGCGTCCTATATAGTCGTATAAAAAATTTAAATTTACAGAGCGACAAAAAAGCGGACTGACTACCTTATTGACACAGCAATTACTTTGCGTTCAACAAAAGAAACGCAAACTTTCGTAGAGAACAAAAAATGAAAGTGCGCCGAATGTTAAACATTTTAATAAATAGATGAAAAATGAAAATTAAAAGCATTCCATAAAATTATATGAAAACATTATTCAGTACGTACGACCTGACCATTCATCTGTCAATAACAATGAAAAAATGAAATGACCAAAGTGACGTCATGACTTGCATAAAAATCATTTTTGATGTCTACTAGACTTCATTCAAAATTTCTATGTTGCTACATTAACACCTTTATTAACAGCTGGCTTTCACTCACGTGTTTTGTCAGAAAATTTAACAATTGTGAAAATTTAGTTTTAAACGGTTTTACTTGAAAATGCGTTATACTGATGGACATTTTGCATAAGAAAAGTGTGATTCTTTCTACAAGGACGCTTGTTTCTTGGTGCTTCGGTCCGACTTGGTCGTTCATTAACTGTCCAGTTAGTAGGCCTACAGAAAAAGCCACTCTACAAAAACCGCGTTGTAAATGTCAGCAAAAGAATGATCAAGAACAGAATTTAAATATATTGAAAAGAATAAAACTGTTATACCTGATTTCCAAGCGTTGTCCTGGTCCGTCTGATCCAGGCGACTTAGTCGGTCTCTTCCTTTTTTTTTTCACCGCGCAGTTTTTGCGTGTACGTCGTAGAAATATATGGGTAGCATTTTTATCTTCGAAATTCAATGACTCCTAGCTACTTGCAGCATTGCAATTTTCGTTAAATGTAATTATCAAAAAGTAGGGAATAAAAGCCAGCTATTTTCTCACAGCAAGTGACATCTTTCGATGATAAACAAAAATTGACAAATTTTATCATGAAAAACCGACTGTTTTTATTTTATTTGGGTGTTTTTCATGATTAAGGCGCAAATTGTAAAAATAGACCATCAGGATCCTTTTTAACTATCTCATGCAGATACTCATACAACACTATCTACTCAACTTACAAACCCCAAGACGTGAATCGTGTTTTTCCACTCGCTTGTTTTCCATCTTCGTAGAACATATTTCGTTTTTTTTACTCCAGTCATTTCAATATTATGTTCATGCGTACATATGCCACAAATCGATGTCCATTCGATGCCTTTATACCATTCCATAAACAAAGTACTCAACATCGTTAACCAACAAAGTAGCTAGTGAAATCGTGAATCGCCATTTCGACAGATTACAATTCACAATGCACTCTTATGGTAACTTCAAGAGAAGGAAAAGGGATCACTTCAATACCCCAGTTATATCATCACTTAAAGAATGCTTAGCGCAGAGTTGATCTTCTATGAGTATCAGCTGACCACCTTTCGGTGGGCGCATATAACAATGGGGCCCATCATCATTATATGCACAAACAACTGACATAAACAGAGAATCCAAACTACAGATAAACATTCTTGGCCATGAATCACCATGACACACATAAGCAACGAGAAACTAGTAAGAGTAATTGAAGTGAATGGCACAGGTGGTAAGGGCACTTTCACAACTCCATCCATGTGGGATCTACAATATAAGAAAATATGAAACACATGTACAAGATTTTATGATGAATATGACGTTAGTTTGCGATTTCAATTCTTAATCAGATATATTGAGAATGAGAAAATTGCAATATGTTTTCTGTTTGACTATCCAAATGGTAGAACAGTCACCTACATTGCACGAAAAGCTTCAGTCAGTTGAGTTTGAACGATGCAACAAGAACTTTCGAACGATCTCAGGCTTAACATCGTGGTCAACAAAAATTGCAGTGAAAGCTTTCATATTTCGAGGCCTGCACTAAGACTAGTTGATTATTCCACGCAACTCATACTTCTTTATATCGTCAGTAAAATGACAGATTTACCTTTTCTTCTACAACGTTAAAGTGACTAATTTTCCGTTGAAGTGAAAACACACGAATTTATATATGTTAGCTTACATTTCTTTAATTGACGTCATGACTATAATTTTTTATTGTGATTGGCACCTTAGGAGCTTATCGCTATTCACAAAGACAAATTCAGTGTACTTATATTCATTGCATATATTCAGTAATGAATAATGTGACATTGAAGAAACAAGCTAAAAATCAGCATCATCAATAAAAACCATTGAGATTTTCACAAGAACAATAGAATCAAGAATCAAATATATATTTAACGTCATTCTAGTTACTTACATTTGTACTCACTTGACTTAGTTTCTCCTCTGTTCGTGTTATCTAACAATCGAATTTTCTCACAAATGTCGGAAAAATCCTCTTGCTGTTGATCGGATGATGCCAAAATTATCGGCTATTACAAAATAGTGTTGAAAACGCTAACCAACCTTTTCCTTTCTTCTTTTGTAGCGACTTCAGTCTTACGAGCGTATTTTCAACTGGATTTTTCTATGTTCTCAAAACGTTTCTTCAAACTGAAGGATTCCAATTCTTGTTCAGTTGCATTCAGAGATGTTGGTGGTCTTGATTTTCTCATCAACACGTTCAAATTCATTGACAATGAAATGAGACGTCTTTCAGTAACTTGTCGTCGATGACAGTTGAAGCCAACAACTTTATTTTGCTCTGCATAATCAAAAATCTTTATACTTGTCGCCTATGTGTATAGTCTTGTTCCATCTTTTATGAACAACATCTGCTTTCCATGACGCCTCGTGACTTGTATGAGGTAAAACTTGAAGTGAATCGTACCTTTATACATAGTGTTAAGCATATCATTATATGTATTTGTTCCACATGAATTGTTCGTACTTGAACAAATTATCGGATATCTATTAAATCTAATTTTTAAAAACAAAACGTATTGTTGCCAAACAAAAGTACTATGCTCTCCCTTCATTAATAAACGTAAAATGCAAATAACAATTGACCATTTTTCTGTGATATTACGCAAATAATCAAACATTAAATAACGCAAATACGAGTTTGGGCATTAAGATGTTGGTGACGTCGTTTTGAAACTTCTCATAAAGGTCGAGACGTGTTGGAAACGATTGTTTATCACTATGAACTTGAAGATTTTTATTTAATTATAGAAATAATGAAATAGTTCGAACTTTTGCGGCTCCGCAAATATAGACTTTATAGTTACAATTGGTTCCGCTCGTTCAGTAAGCAACGAGCTCACATAAATTCATTGATCATTTTTATTTAATGTTTGTGGTGTTAGCAGGCGATCAGACACGATGGTCAATTCTGACATAGCTTACCATGGATTTCCTAATGCAAATTATTTTTTATTGAAATTCATGGTAAGACAACCTAAAATACATGTAGATTAACGTAGAAGACAAGCATTTTTTGTATAGCAAGAACTAAAGAAGCGAATCGCTTAAAATAGACTAAATACATGAAGGCGTTTCATATTCCTGACAAGAAATATCCGCAGCTTTTGTATAAAAATGAAGACAAAAAATATGTACAAGGTCCGAATTTTTTCCATGACAACTCCACTCGATTTTCCGGTGCGAATCCTGCCTGTTTCCTCGAAACATTCAACGCCTGACCAAAAGTCCACTACTATCAACGTGAAAGACAGAAAACAAGTGACGCTGGTAAATAATAGAAACGCGAAGAAAAGATGTGAATGAAAAAAACGTGAAAAAGAGATGTGAAGGAGAAACTTGAAGAATAGAGGTGAAGGAGCGATGTGCAGCTTAAAAGATAACACGTTATGTACTTTTTCTATTTTCTTAATTTTGCGAAAAATTTTGGCAAATGCAATTTGAGCCTGCTGTCAATTGCACCGAAGAAGCTACAGTTGCTACGCTGCGCTAAGCCCAAAGATAATGCCATGGGCGTTAGTAAGGTTTGTATTCTAGAATTATAACACATTAAAACTATTTTCTTCCTGTCAAAATGACACATCTTGTTAAAATCATGCGCTACCACTTTGGGGAAATATCTAACCATATTGAGGACACTTTCCATAGTAGCATATTGTGGTTAACTCAGTGAAAAGAGTTCCTAAGGATTTGCTGTTTCAGCATTTCAGACAACACTGGAATCAGTACGAAGAATCATTGACAGTTTATCATTATTATTAAATAGACTACTGTCTTCAGCCTCATTTTCATTCACAGAAATTGTCACATCATCATGAACGACTACCCCATCTTTATCTTCGTATGTATCCATTTGACTATGCTGTCTCTTTAATTCATTTAATTCGGGATCGTTCTCCCTTGCTTCTCTCTCTTCGTCAAAATCTCCTTCAGAATACTTCAAATCATCACCGACGCCATAGTCACTTGAATTCGGTACACTGAATTTCTTATGATCGTTTTGTACTCTTTCCCAAGGCTTTCGCTTAGGTACAGTTCTTGTCTCCTCTGGATTGAAGGTTTCTATGCTCTCACTGTAACCTATTTAAGAAAATACAAAAGTACGTAAGGGCAACAGCTTCTCCACTACTTACAATGTATGTCAATGTAGGTAGTGATGTATAAACAACAAAGAACAAGAACAGTCTTTAAATTACCTAAAATATAAACTAAGGAACGTAGGTCAAAGTAGGTAGTGATGTATGAACAAAAGAGAACGAGAACTGTCTTTACATTAACTAAAATAAAAACTAAGATAACGTGTGTCAATGTAGGTAGTGGTGAATGAATAACAGAGACAGAGATCAGTCTTTAGATGGCTTTGAAGTGTGTTTGTGAAAAATTCAGTAAAATTTTTACAAATAAGAAATGTTACCTCGAAATTGAGTAGTAGCGTTTTGTTTATCTTGACTCATTCGGACATACTCGATTGATCTACGATTCCTTTCCATTGTAAACTCGTTTTGAATCTCTAACATTTTATTTTGCAAAACAGCATTCTGCCTTTGCAGTTCTTTAACCATTTGAATCAACGTTGACATGTCTTGTTTCTTTCCCATTTCTTCCCGGCTCTCATCGACTACATTGGTAGAAAAATCAGGACCGTAAAATACAAAATCCCAAACGGCGCGGGTAAAGTTGTATGTCTTGTTGGGTCTCTCCTGTAAACAAGGTATGAGTGTTTTTCTACTTCGCCATGGAAATGAAGACCTCTTCCGTTCTATGTCAATTATCATTTTCGCCTAAATCAATTAAAAGAAAAATGTTATAAATATCATAACGATTGCTTTTATTCACCTCATTCATTCATCACCACCTACACGTTATCTTAGTTTAAGTAGTGTAAAAATTGTCCCCGTTATCTGTTTTCATTCATCACTACCTACAATGACACATGTTATCATAGTTTATATTCTAGATAGTGCAAAGACCGTTCTCGTTCTCCATTGCCCATTCATCACTACCTACACCAACACACGTTATCTTAGTTTATATTTTAGATGGTGCAAAGATTGTTCTCGTTCTCCATTGCTCATTCATCACTACCTACACCGACACACGTTATCTTAGTTTATATTTTAGATACTGTAAGACTGTTCTTGTTGTCTGACGTTCATTCATCATTGACTTCATTGACATACGTTATCTATAGGATCTAATTTGATAGTTTCATGAATATCCTTACCGTTTGAATGTGTTTCTGCAGCTTAGCGTGTTGCATAATGCTACTGGTATCATCAATGGCAAGGGCAAGCAGAAGGTTCATAATAATGATAGGCATAACGACAAGAAAACCAACAAGGAGGACCAGCTGTAGTGGATAAAATGTGTTGTAATCAGAGTGGTCACCGAGAAATGTCTGTTTAAAATCAAACTCTCCCATCGTCATCGTTGCTCCAGTTAAGATAGACATGCTAAACCTCTCAAATCCCTGTCTATCATTCATTATTACTGTAAAAGCGGCAGCAAAAGCGACCAAGAAAAATATTAAGAGACCCATGACCTAAATAAGAATTGTTGATATCATTAAACATTAGGGTAGAGGGAGAAGTCATAACTTCAGCAGACAAACCTTGAATAGTGTGAAGGAAATTTTTCTAATCATGAGAATAATTATACCGTAGGAGGCAAACCTTCTTAGATACATAAGATTCATCCAAGCACAGAATAACGCTACAGAACAGGCCATCCATTGAAAACTTGTCTTTACAGACATACTGTCGTTACTTGATACAGCAAAGATGAATGTTGATACGTAGAGAACACATTCCAAATAGTTGACTTTGTCCATAAAATAATTGAATTTGTAAACGAATAACTACATAATTAAATAGAGTATGTCAATATCAAGAGATCAAATTAAGCGTAGACATATTTTGTAAATTCCTTTTTAACGATTTCGCCATTCTTATATAGGGGAGAGGACAAAAAAATCAACCCTATACACAAAATTAATGTTATAGGTTCGTAGCTCGTCATTTCTTAGAGAAATGTTATAGAAATGAAGGATTGCTGTTGAAGAAAATATGAAACAAAATAGCAATGCTGCCCATTAAAACTGTAACGTTCATCACTAAATTAAAATAAAACTAAAAAGATAAATAAACTTTAACAAATAGCAGCCATATTGTTGGCGTCATGCTATTGTTGTTCTGTAACTGCAAGGTTATCAATCACACCTTCACTGAGAAAGCCGATGTTCCAAGGCAAAATACATACGTTTTCATTCTACGTATCATTCTGCTGTCATGAATAAGTCTCATTTTTTGTTGGCAGTCCCTAATATTTTATAACAGCTTTGCAACGAGCACAAACATAAAGTGGCATTTATAATATACATGGTTTATACGAGGGAACTTTTACGACCACAAACTGAATGCTAACCTGACCGATTTCTTTCAATGTTTGAGCGCCAGCAGATATGAGACAGATAAGCATCGCTACCTTAACATTTATCGACGCATTTCGTAATTCTAAACACAAATAGTTTCAATAACGAAAACATAAAACTAAACAAATTCAAGAAAATCGTGAAATAATTAATCTCCTCGAAAATGTTTTGGGGAACCACTGAGTATTTTAATTAAAATACATAACAACGGTAACACCAAATATCGTAAGCATTTTGATTCAATATTTCTACTCTATTTAGTCATCATCAAGAATGATTATATTACATGCGTGCACAGTATATATAGACTTTATATAATTTGACCAAGTTAACAGAAACAGATAGTTCACTCGAAGCTTTAGTGCCATGATTAAGTTCCGGTTTTTTTCTACGGATGGGGAGTGTTTCTTTGAATAAAAGGTTTGACCAATCCTTGCCCTGTCTATGATGTGACAGTTGTTCAACAGGAAGAGAGTTGGGTCAAATGGTTCGGTATTGGGTTCGTCCATGTTAAGTTGTAAGAAATCAGTGAGATGAGTAAATTGTTCGCAGCTGTTGATGTGTTTATAGATTTTTGATTTGTTGTCTGTAGTAGCATATTCGTGTAGTCTTGTGGCGGGGCAAGAGAGAACTATCTGCCTTCTGTCAACTACATCAAATCACATACAGTCTACATATAATGCATACACATGTAACATAATTGGAGTTACCGTTGTTATGTATTTTGATTAATCTTCACATTACCATCTTTGCCAACAGACGCCTTATATGAAGGAATTCCAAACGCGTAGACGTTAAGAGAAACCAAAAACAAGAAAGAAAACATAAAACTTGTTGTGCACACTTTCCATCCAAATTCCATCCATTTTGCTTTAAGGTATTTACAGCAGACAGGATGACATAGGCATTGGTAACTGCTATTTCGCAACATCGCTTTGATGGCGGTGAATGGCTTGAGTTTTTACCTCTTGTTTGTAACTGCGAAAAAAGGATAACTATAAGGAAAGCCTTGTAGAAAAGGAGACAGAGGATGTACACGATGAAAACAGTAAAATGAAAACACGGTTCTAAAAAGCGTAGTCAGTGGCTATGTCTATACAAAATGTCTTATTCATATATGATAAGATATTAATAACCCAACCACGTGACTGTTTCATTTATTCAACCTTGGCGACCTTTTGCAGACAATACAATACTTCATCAATACATGGAAGCAATGATGCATAGACTGGTGGTGGTGGTGGTGGTGTTGATGGTGGTGGTGTTTTGTGGTGGTGGTGTTGATGGTGGTGGTGTTTTTTATGGCGGTGGTGGTTGTTGTGGTGGTAGTTGTTGTGGTGGTTGCGTTGATGGTGGTGGTGGTTGTTTGGTGGAGGTGGTTGTGTTGATGGTGGTTGTGTTGATGGTGATGGTGATTGTTGTGGTAGTGGTTGTTGTGTTGGTGGAAGTTGTGTTAATGGTGGTTGTGTTGATGGTGGTGGTGGTGGTTGTGTTGATGGTGGTGGTGTGGTGGTGGTGGTTGGTGGTGATGTTGATGGTGGTGGTGGTTGTTGTGGTGGGTGGTGTATTGATGGTGGTGGTGGTTGTAGTGGTGGTTGTGGTGGTGTTGTGGTGGTGGTGGTGGTGGTGTGTGATGGTGGTGGTGGTGTTGTGGCAGTTGTGTGGTGGAGGTGATGATGGTGGTTGCAGTGGTGGTGGTTGTTGGTGGAGGTGTGCTGATGGTGGTTGTGTTGATGGTGGTGGTGATGGTTGGCAGTGGTTGTGTGGTGGAAGTTGTAATGGTGGTGTGTTGAAGGTGGTGGTGGTTGTTGTGTGGTGGTTGTGTTGATGGTGGTGGTGGTTGTTGTGGTGGTTGTTGTGTTGGTGGAGGTTGTGTTGATGGTGGTGGTGGTTGTGGTGGTGGTGTGTTGTGGAGGTTGTGTGATGGTGGTGGCTGTGGTGGTGGTGGTGGTTGTTGTGGTGGTGGTGGTTTGTTGATGGTGGTGGTGGTGGTGGTGGTTGTTGTGGTGGTGGTGGTTTGTTGATGGTGGTGGTGGTGGTTGTTGTGGTTGCAATTGTTGTGGTGGCGGTTGTTGTGGTGGTGGTTGTTGTGGTGGTGGTTGTTGTGGTGGTGGTTGTGGTGGTGTGATGGTGGTGGTGGTTGTTGTGGTAGTGGTTGTTGTGTTGGTGGAGGTTGTGAGGATGGTGGTGGTGGTTGTTGTGGTGGTGATGGTTGTGTTGATGGTGGTGGTGGGAAATGAGGAAAATATATAGCAATATTTTCTTTGTGTAGAAAATATTGCATCATCCGCCCCCCCCGCCACTTGGCGGAGCCATTGAGCGTAGTAGCTACTATGAGAATTGTAGCATTCTCAATTTTTTAACGTTTTTTGAGAACTTTCTTTTGATTATGTTAAGATTCTCAAGTAGATCTTTATTTTCTATATAAACTAGCTTGTTCACCACACCTGTATTTTGTAAACACAAAAAGTCGTATGCAACCAAATGGTCAATACTCTCTGGGTGTCCTGTGGTTTTCATGCTGTTAGAAAGAGCTCGATACGCCACTTCGGACATATTCTTAGAAACCAACTTCGCCATCGTTCCTTCTGTACCATTTTTTGTCTTCAAAATAATCTGAACAAAAGTTCGGTGTTGTTCGTAAACGACAGTTTGTCAAAAAACAACAACACCAGTACACTGAAGATGCACAAGAATAAGAAACATGTTGAACATATACTTACAGTCAAACCGAATGCTATGCCCTCCACCAAATTGCTACACTGACAATAAAATCAAATACATTATAATAAAACATACCTCTTTCCATCTATCATGACACATCATCACCATAGCACTTTTTGTATCGTCATTTATGATGGCCCAATCCAAGCAGTTAAAGAACTCATAATCTTCTGTAATTGCCGCCATGCTATCTAGCAAATACTTCACAACATCTGCTTTGCCTTTCACAGCTGCTGTAAGCAATGCTGTTCGTTTGTATTTATTTTCCCAATCGATCATGGAAGGTTTGAACATCACCAACAATTCAACAATATTAAGATGTCCTTTGAACGCAGCAATGTGAAGTGGACTAAACAAATTTCCATCCCTTAAGTACACAATAAATATTTTACTCAAATCTTTCTTCCCTATCAATTAAGTTAAGACATTTTACAGTTATCTTTTTCTCTGTAAAATTCGTTGATGGCAAGATAGAAAATTACCTAACTATAATTGCTCCCTTATTCAGAAGACATTTGACGACCTCTGGGCTACTGTAGTTCGTTGCTGTATGGAGCGGCGTTTTCCCTGTGGCATCGACCTTGTTGATCAAAGCTGGTTCATTGGCTAGGATTAATTCAACCACATCAGAGTTCTGTGAACTAACAGCGCAATGTAATGGCGAACGAGAAGTGTTCGTGAAGACATTCAGATCAGCGTTATATTCTAACAAAATACGGACACTCTAAAATAAAGAAATGAGCCTCCTGTAATGTACTTGTGTATGTCTTGACTTAATCTTAAAGCAAAAGCAACACACTTACCTCAAGTAATCCTTTTAAGGCGGCATTATGAATGGGAGTATAACCGTCTATTTCTTTCTCGTTAATAAGCAAGGCCCGAGATCTTTTTTCTACAACGTGTTTGATTATGATTAAAATTTAAAGCTTCGCTTTTCATCTCCAAACAAAACGATAGCAACCACGTGAAACTTGCATACCTTCAGCAAAATTCTCAATGTTTCAGGATGTGCAATTGCATAGTGAAGAACCGTTCTATTGCTGTCATCACGAATGGTGAAATCAGCTTTCAATTTAAGCAGTTCTTCAACGACACGAACATGACCGCGTTGAGCGGCAAGGACCAACGCAGACTGGGAGTTTTCCGTCTTTTCATTGACAAAAATCTTGGATTTTGATCCAATGTAAGAGACAATACCACTGTGATTATTGATTGCCGCTCTAGAATGAAATAAATTGTCAAAGTGATAACGTCAGGCTTAAGTCCAAAAGTCCTGAATGATTAAATGTACAGATGATACAAATGAAACGTAAAACCTACTTATGAATCGGAGTGAATCCTTGTTTATCCTTTCTGTTCAACTGAAGTAAGTCCAAATGTGTCATTACATCCACAAATCGAAATAAACTCTTCTCCATGCCATTTTTGCAAGCCGCATGAATCAAATAACCATCTCCATGTCTGATTTCTTCGCGCAAATCTTCACGAATCACATCTTCATCTTGCAGACAAACTTGTACAGTGCGTTCATCACCACTGTCCACAGCAACATGAAGTATATTGCGGTAATGACTTCCACCATACTCCTCGCTGAACAATAACTCTTGCACTCTGCTTTTTTCTGAAATAGAAATGTTTTATAAATACATAAGCAGCAGGAATGGAGCGACTGTACCTTTCGTTTAAACAAATAACATTTTCACATTTCAGGAGGACAAACGAAAAATCCTTAATCCTTCTGCCGACGACGAAAGTCATTAAACAAAATACACATATCATGTTGCGAAAATCGTTTTACCGTGTTTCAGGAAAAGTTCAAGCATATTAGCATGTCCTTTATTAGCGGCGATGTACAATGGACATCTTTCTGTGATATCAACCTCTGTTATCTTTCCACCGTGTTCTAGCAACACCTTGGCGATCTCAACATGGTTGAACGTTGCGGCAAAATGAAGTGGTGATCGACCATTCACGCTTTCCACATGGTTCACAAGATCAACAATGAAGTCGTGTTGCAACAAGTTATGAAGAAAATCTACATCACAAAGAGATAAGGTGATAATGAAAATCTCAGGCACTCATGTTGGCCTCGCACTGAATCAATATTACCCCCACCCCTTTCCATCTTGGGCCCTTTTGGCGTGTTTTTGTAATTAGTATTTCAAATATTATATTGCGGATAATACATTGCTCGGTTGAAGAAAGAATGCTTATTTCATAGCACGTCTCTTACGCTGTTAGTAAATTGCTTTCAAATGCATAAAATAGCATTTACAAAGATGCAGTTTTTAAAATTTTATTTGGGAAGGGTATTTCAGGTCCCTCTGCCACATGGCTCACGCTTTACGGAGTGTCTTGTGGTTGGTGCCTTCCCTGTGTAAAATCCTTAAAATATCCCTTGGCAAAGAGCACAACTATGAACTACCTTGGCCTACAACAAAATTCACCTCAGATAACTTGCTACGCATAGATAAACAACTATATGAATACGTGAATGACAACTGCATGGCAATGGGTAAACTTAGTTTGTGGTCAGTTAGAGTTGGGATTGGAGTTAGCACGAGGCTAGTGTAAGAATACCAAGAGGGATTCCATACATAATTTCTAATAGGTTGACCTACATTTTAAAGCAAAGTCATCCATTACAGCAGTGACAACAAGCTTGATAGTATGTTAATATCAATCAAATTTCACAAAAAACATTTCAAGAAAATTTTGCTTTCAGCAACTTATCAAACAGAAAAGCCTAAGTCCGAATACGCAGCATGGCTTCCAGCCTTACCTACGTCACCCATTCTCGTGGCTACATGAAGTACACTCTCTCCGTTCTTAGCTATCACACACTTGGTGTCTTTTACGTGATTTAACAAGGAAGTAAGAGAATTAAGACTACGCGACTCCAAAGCGTAAAATATACATGGTTGTCCTCTTTCATCAGTTCTCGAGAGTAATCTTTGAACTACAAAAGAACATTTAAATATCGAGCTGGTTGAAGGAAAAGAGATTAATATTTCATCAACGAAATACTAACTTTCACGGTCACTTTTCTCTCTCAAAATATTATTGATCATTGTTTGGTCGTCATAAATTGCCGCCAGTTTCATTTCATCAGCTAAACTAGTTTGCACCTTACTCCCGTTTTCGTCAACGTCACTCACATCGGGAACGGTCCCTGCTCGTTGCAAATCTGTCGTGTCTTGCTCATCAATGGGTTTCAGTCTGGCCAGGGCAGCACGATTGACTTCACTTGATAAATCATAGTCCACGCTTCTCTGGGTCGCGGAAAACCCACGTACCAACGCGATCTCACGTAATTCGCCATTCGTGACAATCACTTGAAAAATGCACAAAAAATTCCAATGAACAAACAACAGGAGCGGCAGAACTTAGACAATTGGCGGCTCATATTCATATATTCATATGTTAAAATCTGTAATCACTTATTGATTTAAGTAGAAACTAATAAAGAGGAAGATGCATGTATGAATATGGAATTATCAATTTTTCGCAGCCATACGCATATCCATGGCACATAAGCATGCAGGAAGTCATGCTTCGCCTTTCAATATCTCATAATACTCTCGACGATACTTGACAATGTTATAACTCGAATGAACAATCAATTCGTTGTAACAAATATACCAACCTTATGACGTAATAATGAACGTTGTCACACAACCAGATGTAATTTATATAAAGCTGAAACAGAAATACCTTTATCAAATTACGTATTGTTGAAACTTCATGAAGCAGGAAAATGGGAGCGCAGACAAAACATCATTAAAATCATCACGTCGTTTATTTGACAATAGAACTGTTAGAAGAGGTTTTGACCGATAAGCAGATAGAATCATACAACCGTTTAACAACATAACAATTGAGAATATATTTTAAAAAACATGTGCTCTCTTATTTCGCGGAACAAAAAGTACATTGGTCACATGATTAAAAATCTAGTTGAAAGTTATACACTGTGATGTCATTTCCTTTTAACAAGAACAACAACTGAAGACGTACGGTGTACTTAGAGCTTGGTTTCTTGGGTGACTTGCGTCGCCAACTCAATGACATTCAGAGTATATAATACCAACCGTTGCATTACATGTCGGAAACACTATCTTTATTTACACATGGTCGTTTATACGAATGTCAGAATAATCGTCACGCGCATCTAAGACAACATGAACTAATCGCCCTTCCAAAATATCGATACAAGTTTATCCGAATATTGTCAATTTCCTACCATCAAGAGTTTAAGTAAATGATACCTGTTCATGAGCTAGATATTGATGGAAAGCGAACTATCACATTTAAGTGCTACGCATCATCGAAGACGCAAAATCATTTTCCGGTATTAACTATGCTAGAGGAAAGACATTGACCGCATGACGTCATTGAAATTGCAAAAATTGAATTTTCATCACACGACGTTGAGACAAAACCTGACAAAACAATCTTCAAAATATTATGTTTTGTTGAACAAACGAGAAATGAAACGCGATTCGACAATTTTAAGTACTTTTAAAGAGAGGCAAAAGATCAAGATGAAATGAAATAAATCATTTGTCTATGTAAGACTTTATAGAGTTATCGTGCATTTCCGATGCGCTTATCTAAATTGGAAAGTCAAATAACGTCAAAACCATCGCATGGATCACAACAAAAACTTGCATGTTTTAGAAACAAAATACTCCCCCAGAAATAGGGTTACACCATCTCCTTGGTAAACTTATCTATTCGACGATCGAAGATGGTGGATATATTTTCCAAGGGGGGGGGGCTATCCTAAAACGGAGATATTTTAGTGAAAATCAGAAAATGGGGTCCATTAATATTGGATCACATTGGTAGATTAAAAACAGACACAAAGGTAGACATAAAGCTAGACACGAAGGTATACAAAAAGATAGACATAAAAGTTGGCAAAAGGTACATACAAAGAAAGAAGACAAGTTTAACAAAAAGGTAGACGAAAACGTGGACACAAAAAGATTGATAAAAAGGCGGAGAAAAAATAGACAAAACTAAACACACGAAGGCAAACACAAAGATAGACAAAAGGTAAACACGAAGGAAAATACAAAGATAGACGAAAGGTAAACACGAAGGAAAATACAAAGATGGACGAAAGGTAGAAAGAAACATAGACATAATGATAGAAAAATAGACACGAAAGGTGGGACACAGAGTTGGGCAGAAATGTGGAAACATAGGTACACATAGGTACACAAAAGACACAACTGTAGAGAAAAGATAGACACAAAGGTAGGACAAAGTCAAGCACAAATGATGACAGAAAGGAAGACACAAAGCACAAAGCTAGAGAGAAAGATATAACAAAAGAGGTAAACAAGGTAAGTGACACAAGATAGACACAAAGACAGACAAAAGGTAGACAAAAATGAATGACAAAAAGTAGACACAAAAGTAGAGAAAAACGTAGACACTGAAAGGTAAACAAAAAGATTGACACAAAGTTAGGAAAAAATTAGTCATGAAAGTACAAACAACACAAAAACAGATCAAAAAATATACATAAAGGTAGACACAATGGTGGACAAAAGGTAAACAGAAAGAAATACCAAAAGAGAGACACAACGGAAGACAAAAGGTATACCCAAACGTAGATAAAAAGTTAGACGCAAAGGTAGACACAATGGTAGACACAAAAAGATACACATCATGATAGACATCATGATAGATACAAAGGCAGACAAAAAGATAGACACAAATGTTGACATAAATTTAGATTGAAAGATAGACAAAAATTTGGATACAATGGTAGTCAAAACCAAAAGATACACATAAGATTGACAAAAAGGAAGACAAAAAGGTAGACAAAAAGTAGACACAAAGGTATACAAAAAGTTAGACAACAAGGTGGACAAAACATTAAAAAAAAGTAGAATCAAAGGTAGACACAAAGTTAAACAAAAAAGTAGACACTGGTAGACAAAAAGATAGAAAGAAGGTAGACACAAAGTAGACAAAAAGTTAGACGAAAAAGGCAGAGAAAATGTCATACAAGAAATTAAACAAAAAGGTAGACACAAAGGTAGACATAAATTTAGATTGAAAGATACACAAAAAGGTAGACACAAAGGTTGACACCAAAGTAGACAAAAAGGTACACACAAAAGTAGGACATAAAGTTAGACACAAATGCAAACAAAAGATAAACATGCAAAAGGTAGATAAAAATGAAGACACTAAGGTAAACACATGCAAATGTTGATAAAAGGTAAATAAAAATAATAGATACGTAACGTTGAAAAAGACCTCTCTTTTGATAAAATGGAAATTTTTTTAAAATGTGTACATTTGGGGGTTTTTTTCAAGAAGCCGAAAAAGAATCGCAATAGCCCTGCGTGGTTATCTGTCGTACAGTCGTAGTGTTAACTCTTTTCTCTTTTGTAGAGAAATCTAAATTTTAAAGTGAAAGAAAAGAAGAAAAAGCTAAGTCGCCTTAAATAAAAAAATAATTTACCTTTCGTCCCTCGGGATGTATTCAAACGTTGTAAATGGTACACTCCAAGCAACAGCAGCTACCTAAAAAAACGTCAAAAAGTTGAGCGAGTGCGTCAATGCATTAATCGATAATATCGTTAATGTAACAATGCATGAGTTTGGTGACGCTCACATATGATATTGATGTGCTGAAAACGTCGTTCAAAGTCTTTGTACAACTTGTTAACATGTCGGACGAGTTTAGTTAGGATTTCTTTTGGCAGTGAAACGTCTTCATCACAGCTTCTTATGTATTAAAGAGAGCAGCTAAAGATGGTTGTAAGCTGAAGAAAAGGTGTTTTATTAGTTAAAGATTGAAAACACGGATTACTTGGATTGAGCAGTCGTACAACGCTACTGGCTGAACTAAAGATGATGTGTCGATCGTTGTTGACAGATTATGTTCAGAGTTGACTCACTTCACCTCGCGTATGCTCAACATGACGATGCGGCCAAATATTTCGAAAACTCTTTTTAACTTCTCCAGTTTTTTCGAGGCGATCAGAAACTCGTGGCTCATGATTGTCAAGATCTTATGGCTGCAAGTATATAATAAAATTACATACATGAGTACATGAAAGCTACAGGATATCATGAAAAAACCATTTACCTTTATGACAAGTATTTGAGATCTCAATTTGAAACTTACACGTAGAGAGGCAGCTACATCACGTATACAAAAGACTTTGATACGTCGCTGTAACAGACTAAAAGTTATACACCAAACTTATGGTAAGGTATTAACAAGTAAAACTTTGATACTTCACTGTAGCATTTTCATCACACATCGTTACAGATAAGGAGAACGCAGCTCGAGACAAAAAATGAAATACCTGTTGGCAAGTACTAGTCAATACTGCAAGTACTAAGCAACAATAGCAAGTATTCCACAATACTCACAAGTATTATGCAATACTATCAAGTACCATACAACAGAAGCAAGTATTCCACAATACTGGCAAGTACTATGCAATACTATCAAGTACCATACAACAGAAGCAAGTATTCCACAATACTGACAAGTACTATGCAATACTATCAAGTACCATACAACAGAAGCAAGTATTCCACAATACTGGAAATTACTATGCAATACTATCAAGTACCATACAACAGAAGCAAGTACTCCACAATAGCAAACTTAACAAAAAGCAATTGGGATAGTCGTGGGATTAAGCAATATGTTCATGAAAACAGTAAACTAGATCCGCTATATATTCGGCGAAATAACGAATAAGAAATATTTAATCCTCAGTAAAAAAATTCAGAAAACTTAAAAAACAATGAAATGTTTTGCCCAAGTATTAATTAAAAAAAAGATAACGTCTCAAGACAAAAATTTTTTAGTCTCAATTGCTCGAACAGACGTGTTTAGAAATGGCAGATAGCTGCAAGCGAATATCACCATAGTTTTCAGCCCAGAAACTCATTTCTGGACTTTCTACCATCATG